TCTCTCTCTCTCTCTATTAGGCTGTCTGTCATTGCTCTCTCTCTCTCTCTCTGTCTCTCTTCGGCTGTCCGTCATTGCTCTCTCTCTCTCTATTAGGCTGTCTGTCATTGCTCTCTCTCTCTCTCTCTCTCTTACGCTGTCCGTCATTGCTCTCTCTCTCTCTCTCTGTCTTAGGCTGTCCGTCATTGCTCTCTCTCTCTTAGGCTGTCCGTCATTGCTCTCTCTCTCTCTTCAGCTGTCCGTCATTGCTCTCTCTCTCTTTTCTTAGACTGTCCTTCATTGCTCTCTCTCTTAGGCTGTCCGTCATTGCTCTCTCTCTCTCTCTCTTTCTCTTAGGCTGTCCTTCATTGCTCTCTCTCTCTCTCTTGGGCTGTCCGTCATTGCTCTCTCTCTCTCTCTCTCTTCGGCTGTCCGTCATTCTCTCTCTCTCTTCTTTCTCTCTTAGACTGTCCTTCATTGTCTCTCTCTCTCTTAGGCTGTCCGTCATTGCTCTCTCTCTCTCTCTCTTTCTCTTAGGCTGTCCTTCATTGCTCTCTCTCTCTCTCTCTTAGGCTGTCCGTCATTGCTCTCTCTCTCTCTCTCTCTCTTAGGCTGTCCGTCATTGCTCTCTCTCTCTCTCTTTCTCTTAGGCTGTCCTTCATTGCTCTCTCTCTCTTAGGCTGTCCGTCATTGCTCTCTCTCTCTTTCTCTTAGGCTGTCCTTCATTGCTCTCTCTCTCTCTCTCTCTTAGGCTGTCCGTCATTGCTCTCTCTCTCTCTCTCTCTTAGGCTGTCCGTCATTGCTCTCTCTCTCTCTCTCTTTCTCTTAGTCCTTCATTGCTCTCTCTCTTAGGCTGTCCGTCATTGCTCTCTCTCTCTCTCTTTTCTCTTAGGCTGTCCTTCATTGCTCTCTCTCTCTCTCTTAGGCTGTCCGTCATTGCTCTCTCTCTCTCTCTCTCTTAGGCTGTCCGTCATTGCTCTCTCTCTCTCTCTCTTTCTCTTAGGCTGTCCTTCATTGCTCTCTCTCTTAGGCTGTCCGTCATTGCTCTCTCTCTCTTTTCTCTTAGGCTGTCCTTCATTGCTCTCTCTCTCTCTCTCTCTCTCTTAGGCTGTCCGTCATTGCTCTCTCTCTCTCTCTCTCTTAGGCTGTCCGTCATTGCTCTCTCTCTCTCTCTCTGTCTTAGGCTGTCCGTCATTGCTCTCTCTCTCTCTCTCTTAGGCTGTCCGTCATTGCTCTCTCTCTCTCTCTCTCTAGGCTGTCCGTCATTGCTCTCTCTCTCTCTCTCTTAGGCTGTCCGTCATTGCTCTCTCTCTCTCTCTCTTAGGCTGTCCGTCATTGCTCTCTCTCTCTCTCTGTCTTAGGCTGTCCGTCATTGCTCTCTCTCTCTCTCTAGGCTGTCCGTCATTGCTCTCTCTCTCTCTCTCTCTCCCTCTCTCTGTCTTAAGCTGTCCGTCATTGCTCTCTCTTTCTCATAGGCTGTCCGTCATTGCTCTCTCTCTCTCTCTCTCTTAGGCTGTCCGTCATTGCTCTCTCTCTCTCTGTCTTAGGCTGTCCGTCATTGCTCTCTCTCTCTCTCTTAGGCTGTCCGTCATTGCTCTCTCTCTCTCTCTCTCTCTCTGTCTTAGGCTGTCCGTCATTGCTCTCTCTCTCTCTTTAGGCTGTCCGTCATTGCTCTCTCTCTCTCTCTCTTAGGCTGTCCGTCATTGCTCTCTCTCTCTCTCTCTCTTAGGCTGTCCGTCATTGCTCTCTCTCTCTCTGTCTTTAGGCTGTCCGTCCGTTGCTCTCTCTCTCTCTCTCTCTCTCTTAGGCTGTCCGTCATTGCTCTCTCTCTCTCTCTCTCTCTGTCTTAGGCTGTCCGTCATTGCACTTTCTCTCTTTTAGGCTATCTGTCATTATGTTTTTGTGGTTTTTTGATCAGGATGTTCAGACGATTATTATTATTATTATTATTATTATTATTATTATTATTATTATTATTATAAAACTTCTTTAAATGATAAATGTTAAATGGCAAGTGCTGACAAAGTGTATTACAAAGTTTATTGTAATTCTACGGTGACTTTAACTGTTAAAACATAATTTAAGGTTAAAACATGAGCGCCTTTTTATATAATTTTTAGTACTCATTAGTCTTTAAAATGTTGGAAAATATTCTCCCTAATCTAATTTTAGGAATGTTGACTTTAAATTTACTAGAGACATCGCTCTCATTTTCTGATAATGTCGCGTATGGGCGCCCATACTTTCAAAAATGGGCAAATTTATATACATAAAAAAAAAAAAAATTCAAAATTATTTTAAAAATCTAAGTCCTCGATGACTGGTACTAAGCTGATTAGTAAATATAGTTTTCAATTAATGATATTATTTCAATAGATAAAAAAAATATATATAATTTTAAAAGATTTAAAACTTTTAGAAATGAAAAAAAATGAAAACAATTCTCATCGTTGTCGCCATATTTATTACAACGTTTCGGCCGTTGTACGCTCCGGCCTTCTTCAGGTGGTTGGAATGTCGAACTGAACCCTTTATTTCGCTCACTGCGGTAGACTGTTCTAATTGTGTTTTTCCAATTTTGGGCGCTGTCAGAACCACCGCAAAGTAATTTTACGTAGTCCTGTGAAGTTTTGTTGAAAACGGTTGAAAAATGTAGGAAATCCGATCCAATATATAAACGTACAGACACACACACACACACACAACCTGGGTTTTATAATAAGTAAGATATATATATATATATATATAGCTAATATAAGCATATATCAGGTATATATTAGCTAGCTTAAAAGCCTACCTATCTGGCAGGATTTAAGCTAGCTCCTGCGGAGGGTTCTTGATTGGGCATTCTGCTTGTTCAGTGTCCCTAAGTCTTTGCATATCCTCAGCACTGGAAACTTTCCTGGCTGCCATTTGATCTGGGTTTTCATTTGCACGGAACTATCTTTTCTTCGATTCAGACTTGGCCCTTTTTGATTGCATGTTCTCTTTTTGCGAGGCATACTCCTGCCTTATAAAATATATAAGCAACAATAAACAACAGAGAACTCAAAATTGATTGCTACATTTAAGTATTGCGTTAATATTTAAGCTTACTTTTTAAAAGTTCAACGATAATTCTTCTGCCGCCATTTTAATTTAAAGACAATTTGATGTACGTAGATCCTTGCTTTCCGTACAAAAAATGATTTTTATTTCATGGGTGACTTTCGCTGAATTTCGCAATTTCGATTATTCAAAAATTCATTTCCAAGTTATAAAAATTGTTGTATAAATAATTCGTCGCAAAAAATTACGTAAAAAATCGCCGAAATCAATTGCAGTGATAAAAACTTGTGAATCCAAACTTTTTGTAACATGAGCTATTGAAAGTTAGAGAGTTGTGTCCCTTTAATTGAAAAAGTGTGACACAGTGACACATTGGCATTCACATTTATTATATAGATATACATACATACATATATATATATATATATATATATATATATATATATATATATATATATATATATATGAAGGAGAGAGAGACAGAGGAAAAAAAATCGAAAGAGATGAAAATAAAACGAGAAGAAGAGAGATGCGAAAGCGTATTCAACAAACTCCTCTATTAACCCCTTCCCCGCCATTTTGGGAAAAACGTTTCACTTTTCAGGAGAAGCATTTTGACAGAGAACGGTAAGTGCGACTCTGAGATCCGTAGACGTATCGGGATGGCCATAGACACATTCCAAATGCTGGGCAGAGTATTGCAAGACAGGAGGATTTCTTTGGTAACAAAGAAAAGAATACTGAACTGTTACGTGACATCTGTCCTTCTTTACGGCAGCGAATGTTGGACGATTTCCTCAAAGATGAAGAAGATACTCGAGGCGACAGAGATGTGGTTCTACAGAAGGATGCTAAGGATATCATGGACCGAGCGTTTGAGCAACGATGAGGTCTCAGGTTGCAAACAAGACGGAGGCTTATACTTAACATCAGAAAAAGGCAGCTGAAGTTTCTAGGACAAATAATGAGGAAGGAAGGCCTGGAGAATCTGATACTCACGGGTCGGATAGAGGGAAAGTGAGACAAGGGAAAATAACGCTTGACATACCTGGCGGACTTAAGCAAGTACATGACAGAACGTGGTCTGGGGAGAAAGCCCAGGAAAGGAACTTGTTGGGATCTACAAGGGATAGAAGAGGTAGCGAGCCACGATCGCCTACGTCCTGAAAGAACATGGCACATAAAAAGACAGAAAAGGAGCAAAGATAAGGTCTTAGAGAGATTGCAAAAAAGGAGAAAGCTTACACTTAATATCAGAAAGAGGTGGCTGAAGTTTCTGGGACACATATTGAGGAAGGAGGGCCTGGAGAATCTGATACTCACAGGTCGAATAGAGGGAAAGAGAGACAAGTGAAAACAACGCGTGACATACCTGACAGGATTAGGCAAGTGGATGACAGAGCGTGGTCTGAAGGAGAAAGCAGAAGGAAGGAACTTGTTGAGAGCTGCAAGGGATAGAAGGATGTGGAGAGCCATGATCGCCTACGTCCTGAAAGGACATGACACATAAAAAGAAAGAACTAAGAAACTGTGGCACCTTGAAGTAACCGAACAGTGGCTAACACCTCTACCAGACGTACGAGTTGACAATTGGACTCGTATTAATATCAGCAGGGCATAAAAAGAATCAAGATCGACATATAAACACGTCTGTAGCTGGTTTTTTAACGGTATCTGTTGGACGTGTTTATCCGTCTATGTCTGAAAAACTACTCTCAGTGAAAACGTATATATACGTCTACGTCGGGGAAGAGGTTAAGGAGTTAAAATTTATTAATTTTATTATAAACTCAATATATTTTATTTTTCTTAATGTTAAATGCTAATAAAATGATTTTGATAATCATGTCGAATCTTTGTTAATCCTGGAAGATTAGGTAAGCCTTGCGGTAAATAATAACAAAAAAAAGATGAAGATATTCGCTGATAACCGTGTGAGAAGCTCAGAAGATTCTCAGCAAGTTCATCCGATTTTAAAATTTCGGTTCCTCCGAATCCCGTACGACTTGACTCCTCCACTGAGTCGCCAGATTTTTGCCCGTCTCCACATTCGGCCACGGAACAGGCCGACGTGTCTCAAACAATTTCCCGCCTTTAAACACTGCGACGGGGACGATGCGCTTCCTAATACGACGTCGTTGTCCCGCGCTGTCTTCCAACCAGGCGTCACAATCTTCGATTTTCACTATTGTGATGTCTGCTTCTCGACCAGGAGCCAAAACACCAACTTTGTCAGAGATTCCCAGGGCCCGGGCTGGCGTTATCGTAACTGCTTTTATAATTTCAACGAAAGGCATTCCTACGTGTAGAAGTTTCGTCATTACCGTCGGTAAGTCATACGCCGGGCCCTGAAGATTGCCGCTGTGAAGATCCGTGCTGATCGTGTCCGGCCAAAAGCCTTCGGCGGCGCATTTTTCCAGAACAGTCCAATTAAATGACCCCTGGCCGTGGCCAACATCGAAAAGGACTCCACGGTTCTTGGCTTCCCACACGGTCTTAGGGATGGTCCAGCTCTCCGGATCCAAGATAGTGCTTAGATAGCCATGAAATGCATGTGTGTAGATATCTCCAGCAGCCAAATCTCCAGGACAAGAAAGTTGATCACCTGTCAAAAAGAAAACAAAAGTAGTTCATGATATACAACATAAAAAGGGCTTTGTTTAAGTAGGACTTCAATTTTCTTTCTTTTTTTACTATTAGTCACCCAATACAAAGGCCAAAGAGCTACTCAAGGTAGCAATGAAATTGCAGTAATGGCGTGCATTGGGAGAGAAGAAATACATGTATTGTAGCATCAAAGAATTGTCCTTTCGAGGAACAAATTTTTGACCAATATTTTCCTCAAATTTTAAGACGTTTAATAAATATATCTGCCACAATCTAAGGTTTGCAGCCGTGGGCTGTATCTCGAATCCAATAATTTAATTTTGCTGATCGCTTCCTTTACGATGATGGCGTTGATGACAAAATTCGCCGCCAACATGCAGGTTCAGGACTGGAAGCCTGCCGCCGTCTTCCATTCTCTAAAGCCGCTTTGCTTTGCAAACATTAATTGGAGGTGAAAGAAAATCAGTGTAGGAGAAAGTGCCGATGGCGTGAATTCGTTTAAGGTGGCCCTCAACTTTCCAGGAAGTGAGTGACACACTTGATTTCATGACCTTATGGAGTGAAACATGTAGAATCTAGTTATGAAACTGCAACCGACAGCCGCTGGCTATTATAATCTCGAGTGGCGCCTTCTGTAACATGTCCGTCGTGCGTAGCCCTCTTCACCTGCTGGTTCAACTGTTGTAATCGTTATCCGCTTGTTCCACTGATGGGGTCTTTGGGGTTGGTCACGCTTAGTTTGGGTTCTCGTCTTCGACCTTGCCGCCAAGGGTGCCTCTACTATGAATTTAGAACACCCGACGACATCGCTCTCAAAGTCATTGGACTACGCAAGTACCTCCACCACGACAAGGAGCGACTATCAGAGGTATTTACAAATATGAATTAGTCCGATCGCCGAAGTTAAGCAAAGTCGAGCATAGACAGCAACTAAACCGGTGACCAGCTTGGATGTGCGGGTGGTGTAATAGACAACAGCTTGGAATTGGAAATCGGAGATCTGAGTTCCATTTGGGTTCGTTATATTAACTTACCTGTAAATACCCTAGGGAAAGTTATCATTCCACCTAATTTCTCCCCAGTTATGGGTTAAATAGTCTGGTCTTGTATCAGTAAAATAATTATTATCTCCGCAAAAATTCTTACAATCTGAAAATATTTTCTGGCTTTAAATAACAATAACAAAATAGTAAAAAGTTGATAAGTCGTAAAATATAAATCAATTAATAAATTATGAGACCTTCCATACTTTTGAAGTAGCAGTATTTTGATTGGTCATTTCAGCTCATGTAACAGCGTTTCCCCTTAGCGAGGAGTGTTTGATTGATTTGGACCTTTTAAAACACTTTATTCTACATTCAACACCATCACTTGATAAGACACCAGAAGTGTTGAAACAAAATGGCTATTTTTGTAGTGATTTTATAACATATTTATGTTATAATTTTCGAATAAATAATTATATATATATATATATAATTTATAAATAAATAATTATATATATATATATATATATATATATAAATTATAACTTTATTTGTATTTGCGATAGAAATAATCTGTAAAGAATGTTATAGTTTAATGTACCTAGTTTTAAGTACAGCTAAAATAACTAATATGATTTCAGGCATTACTGCAAGTCAGTTAGCAAATGTTTTCTGTCAGCTGCAAAATCGTATTACCCTTTGTATTGTTAATGACAGAGGACATGTGGAAACTTAAATAAAATTTCAATAAAACCTTAAAAAAATATAGATTTACTTCTTTCTAATCCTTTTTCCAAACTATTTCTATCGCAAATACAAATAATGGTATAATTTTTTTAAATGCACACGAACTTTATGGACACCCTGTATATATATATATATATATATATATATATATATATATATGTGTGTGTGTGTGTGTGTGTGTGTGTGTGTGTGTGTGTGTGAAAATGTAATTTTACCTGTCTTCGTGATTGGAATCGTGGAAATCGCATGGTGCACCATAAGTGGAACCTCCGCTTGTCTGGCTGCCTTTAGAGCTCTCCTGTAAAAGAAAATCGTAATAGACATTTTTAAGCAATGGCGAGGATTGACATGCAAATTCTCTTGCGTCTAAAAGATGTAGTACGGACGTTAACCACTAGTCTTCGGCAGTACATTTTGTGAGATCACCGCATACTTATTCAAATGGAACTTTGGAAATTAAATGCTAGAACAACTTCTTTTTCTTCTGGTTTCACGGCCTGCACGTTCCCCAACCTCAATCCTTTGGATATTTATCTGTGGGGTCACCTAAAAAATTGCTTTATGCAGCAGAGATTAATAATGCAGAGGCGCTTCATCAACGTGCCATGGGGTCTGCGAAACCTTTCGACACCATGTGGGAGTATTTAAAGGATCCGCCAGTCAATGATCCGACGGGCGCATGCGTGTGTAGAAGCAAGCTATATTTAGTCGTCCTCCCACGAGGGCGTCATGTGGCACAAGGCCTTTTTAACGTGGGCATTTCCGAGCCATTAGGCTCGGCCAAAAAATAGCCCATTTGAACCCGTATAAACGAGTTCAGGGCCGGTTTTACCTCCCCGAAGGAGACTCCGCCCTTCGGCGTAGCCTCCTTCGGGTTCCTCTCCGTCCGTAGACAGAGAGTTGAACCGAACAGTCGCTCAGAAAGTGAACGACAGACAGTGTGTAGAAGCAAGCGGAGGACATTTTGAACATTTCTTATGAGTTCCTGTGTTAAGATAAAATGATGTCCTTTTTAATATATGTTTATATGGAGATTTTACCTTGTTTGGGTGTCAGGAATCCGCCCCCAAAGTATTTTTGGATTGTAACTTGGATTGTACATTTAACAGCGTCTACCGTAAAATTTAAATTCAAAAACGAATTATTTGGGACATATATTTATATGGACTTTTGTCCTTGCTCTGATACACCCTGTGTATATATATATGTATATATTTTGACCATCTAAAAATAATTACAAATTACATTCATGAATTAGATTCAAACTGATAAAGATGTTACCTTAACTGTCTTTTACAATATTAAAAGAGTACTATTGGTCGGGTAAACAAACTGTTATCGTTTAAAACTTTTAATATGTCCTCTATGAATGTGTTAATAAATTGTTGTAGATGTTGTCGCCGAAAATTTGACGAGCAATTTTTTTTTCTTTTTCCTCCGTATGAGTACGAATTTCGTCACCAAATAATGTTGCGAGCGAACGAAAATTTTTCTTCCTCCGTATGAATCCGAATACGTTCGTCGCCAAGTGTTGTATATGGCGAACGAATTTTTTTTCTCCGTATAAGTTTCGAATCGTCGTCGCCAAGTGTTGTATATGGCGAACAAATTTTTTTTTCCTCCGTATGAGTTTCGAATCGTCGTCGCCAAGTGTTGTAGAGTAGTTTCACAGTGGAGGCTTGTATTTCACTAAGTCTGTCCGAAAAAGGTTCGACGTACAAAACGTTAGGAACTTGATATAATAGGTAATGACTCTAGTTGTGGTCGCTGATACTCTTAGTGTCCGACATCGACTGGCTGACCAACTCACTCAGCTACTTATTATAGGTGGGAGAGTCTAATAACTATAGAATAGGTGTGTTCCAGTATAACATAAATACAGTATTTAACTTATATTAAATCCCTAAATTATTTGTAAAAAAAGGTAAATATTTAAATTGCTAGCAAGCATCAAATTAATTTCTTCGGGATTTTTTTAGACATCTAAATTACTATCAAACATTAAAATCTATTTTTAACATAAATTGCCAAAACTTACCACCCCTCTCCTTCCTATGTAAAACCCATTTACATCCTCTTTCTATTTACTTCCCTCTTCTTTCTTTTTCCTTTTTCTTTTCACTTTTCTCCCCTCCCATTTCAATATATCACTTCCGTTAAGTTAACCGTTTAAATAGGTCAAGGTCTGGTCACTCCTCCTCCCCCAATACTAAGTATGATTGAGAGAGAGATATGAAATTAATCCCTCCCTAAACTCTACCATGTCTCTCTAACCACTCCTTATTACACTCTCTGTTAAATTACAAAAACTTACACTACCCATCAATTTTCATTTCATTTTTCGTTTCATTTTTTGGAAGTGCTATCAGATGATCCGGCGTCCTTTCACAGGGCTCGGGTGAAATAAATTATTATAATGGAACCTTAAAGTGGTCTGTTTTTCTTTAAAATATTAGCTCTGGATTTACATTGAGCTCTCAGGATTTCATCCTCCTTGGGATTACCCATACGGATTACCAAGTTTTTCATAAGTTATATATATATATATATATATATATATATATATATATATATATATATATATATATATTATAAATTAGCTGATTTAAAATATGGTTATATAGTTGTAAATTTACATTGAGAACTGTTTTGTAAAAATAAAAATATCAATAAGAACACCGGATTATATATCTTATTATTATGATATATATATATATATATATATATATATATATATATATATATGTGTGTGTGTGTGTGTGTGTGTGTGTGTGATTTCAAATTTATTAATAGTGGATATTCGTATTTGAAATAGACGCCTCATTTTTATTTTAAACAGTATGTAACGTCTGCCGGCCTTTGTCGAATCTGCTTCCCCCTTTTTCGGAAACTTCGTTTCCTCTGTATCCCGTCCGACTTGACTACTCCACTGAGTTGCCAGACTTTTGCCTATCAACAGACTCGGCGACGGACTATGTCTCAAGCAATTTCCCGCCTTTAAACACCGCCCCGAGGACGATACGCTTTTCCCACACGGCGTCGTCGGCTCACGCTGTCTCCCTACCAAGTGTTACGATTTTCGATTTTCATTCTTGCGATGTCTACTTCTCGACCTGGCGTCGAAATTCTAACTTTGGGAGCAATTCCCATGGCCCGGGCCGGAGTTATCGTAACAGCTTTTACACGTTCAACGAAAGTCAATTCACAAACGCAAATATCACGTCATTACTGCTGGTAGGCCATACACCGGCCCATGATGATTGCCGTGTGGGAAGATCATTGCTGATGAGGTCCGATCAAAAGCCTTAGGAAGAGCTTTTTTCTGAGACTTTCCAATTAAAGTAAAAAAAAAAAAAATGTCTCATACCAAAATGTTTCCACCATGTTTGATAGCCGAAATGGGGACAATAGGAATAGTCTTTCACCAATTTTTTCTCGGGTACCTTTTATGAAAATCTCTAACCAACTGATATCTAAAGATTACCTTGGAAAAACTAACCTTTCTAAATTGGCGCCGAATGTCAACGTTCTATTTTTTATTCAATTAACAAAGGAATTTAAAACCGTTAAAAACATCACGTGTGACGAGATGGACGGACGTTGGCTTGAAGATTTGTCTGAAGAAAGTTTTCCAGAAGACGACAAAAAAAAATAGCAACTCTATTTACTCCCGAAAATCAATGACAAGGTCTTTTGACGAGAGGAGGGTTTTCAACCTCAAGGTCACAGAAGGACCAATACGTGCCAAGTAGATATCTGTCTATATTTCTATGAGGTACTGTAATTATTTACATTATTTGAACTTTTATCCTCATCTTTATTGCCATATTTTACGCACCGACCTTCTTCAGGTGATTGGAATTTCGAACTGAACCCTTTATTCCGTCCATCGGTAATGTCTCAGTTATCTCCCTTTAACTTAACTCTCCAAGTTGTTCACATTGAACACATAAATTTTGGGGTCAATTTATTGGATCCAACCGACGCGTTTATCCATACGTCCTTGAGGACATCAATGTAGGAATTTTTGATACTTATAAACTTAATATTTCAGCTATTTATTTTTTATCAGAGCTCATATTGCAATTTTTTTGGTATTATTGCTTTTCTCTAGCATTCCGTATTACTTGTTCCCATATTGTATTCATTTCTATGCTTGGTCGGCTCAGGAGAGTGTTTTGGCCTAGCATATGCGCTGATTCCTAATACCATAATAAAGATGAGGACAACAGTCCGAACAATGTAAATAATGTAAAGAGACATAACAGCTTCATCTGTTAAGCAGTAAAATTAATATCAGTCAGCCTAGAGTTCGAAAATCTTATGAAATAAAATCTGCTTGTAGGCAGGAAATGAACTTGTATTCCCTTTTGGATGTGAGATTTAAGCGCGATTTAAGCTAAGATACGACATTACAGCAAATCAAGACTCAGTTAGTCCTCTTAAGACGCGCGTCCTGGGTATGACGATAAACTACATCCGCATCCTGGGTAAGACAATAAATACGTCCAACAGCAAGGTCTTTGATAATACGTTTTTGAAAAAAATAATGTTGCCAGCTATACATTTTTGAGGAAAAAATAACAGAAATAGAATTTTGACAAAACAAAATATTACCAGGAAAAAAAAGTTGTCGGCATTAAATGACCCATTGAGGTTGATATGCCGTAAAACAAAACAGACCAAAATCAAACCTCTTAAGACGCACATCTTTAATAAGGCTCTCGATCCCTAGTCCAGTAAATAGTAATTTTACTGTTTAAAAAAAAAAGAATCAGACGTTTGTGCCCACTAAATATAACGTTTATAGCAAAATGCATATGTAGAGGAACATGCGTGTATAAAACGAAGAAATAAGCGAATCTTCAACACGACTCGACAAATTGAAATGTGTTTTTTATTAGCTGATGTGTTACGATTATTTACATTATTTACATTATTCGTACTGTTATCCTCGTCTTCATTGCTAACGTTTCGGCCGTTGTACGTTCCGACCCACTTTAAGTGATTGAAATTTCGAACCAATCATTTTATTTAGTTCACCGGGGCAAATTGTTCTAGTTCCACGTGTCACGACTCTTCCGGATGTCTCAATGACACATGGGCCAGTGGATAAAGACGTTGGTTAAATCCAGTGACTAGACCCAAAGAGCTGTGAGTTCATTATCAGGCCACAGCAGTGGTGAACAAAAAAAAACTTGGAGAGTTGAGTTAAAGGGAAATAACTGAGACATATGGAAGAGGCATGGCACGTGGAACTAGAACAATCTACCCAGTGGATGGGTTTGGTTCGAAATTCTAATAACCTGAAGAAGGCCAGAGAGTACAACGGCCGAAAAGTGAATATGGCGATGAGGATAAGAGCCCGAATAATGTAAATAATGTTTATTATTTAAACATTATTTTTCTTTCAAATTGAAAGACATGAATTACAGAAATTATTTGCGAAAAAGTGCACATAAAATATTTTTTCGATCTTCTTTACAGAACTACCGAATGAATTGCGATAGTATAGAAGAAACAGAATGTTTTGAATATATATATATATATATATATATATATATAACCTAAAGAGCCAGGTTCATAGTTAGATTTGCTCTACTTAGTGTATTGAGATCTTTGCTTAGTTACTTTTGCTTTACTCGTTTTGGAGGGTTTTTTTTTTTCTTTGGACTCTGAACTTGGATTCTGGACGATTGTTTTCGCCTCAATTTCATGTTCTTTGTTCTTTCTTTTTCAGTCCCTTATTTTTCCTTGGGTATTGGTTTGTTCATTTCCAAGAAAAAACACCTGAGGTTTTTCTAGATGAGTATAACTCTCTCTCTCTTTCTCTCTTTCTCTCTCTCTCTCTCTCTCTCTCTCTCTCTCTCTCTCTCTCTCTATATATATATATATATATATATATATATATATATATATAGATATATATATATAGTAAGTTAATGAAGGGTTTGGTAATCCGTATGGATAAATCCAAAGAGGATTTGATCCAGAGAGCTCAATGTAAAACCAGAGCAAATACACAGTTGTGGCCTGATCAATCAAGAAAAATATTTTTTCTGGGGAAATAAATTAGAGTCATGGAAAGTATACAGAAAAAACAAACAAAAATGTTAATATGCAATTATGCTGCATTAATGTTAATATAAAGTCAACGTCGGAGGTTTCGGTCTATTTTAGACCATCTTCAGGACATTTTCATTAAACATAATTAACATAAGAACATATAAAATTCAACATGAAAACATATGTATATCCATATAATTGTTATATATATATATATATATATATATATATATATATATATATATATATATATATATATATGCATTACTCTTCAAGTATGAATTGAGTTCTCCGAGCCGCTGGCGTATTCCGTATAGAGAAAAATGTTAAAATTCTCTTCCTTTTTGCCGTGCGACGATGCTAAGGTTAAGATACCTGACTGATGTCTAATCAATCGGGTTTCGATCCCAGCTTGAAGCAATCGGACGTCTAGCCACACTGAAGAACTGAGGGTACAGCAAAAGAATCTGTCTGTGGATCACTATATATTTATTAAAGAAAAACAGGCCACTTTAAGATTCCATTATAATAATTTATTTCACCAGAGCCCTTTTGAAGGACGCTGGATCATCAGATAGCACTTACAAAAGATGAAACGAAAAATGAAATGAAAAATAAAAAACTATATATATATATATGTGTGTGTGTGTGTGTGTACACTGAAGTCTTAGTTTATATGAATTTTATTGTAAAAATATTGATTTCATAATAAAATAGGATTATCTATCTGTTCATATTTATCTGGTTTTGTTAACATCTTTGTATGTAGCAATTTTTGGTCTCTTTTCAGTTGTTCTCTCTCTCTCTCTCTCTCTCTCTCTTACTCTCTCTGTCTTTATATCTGTATCTTGAAAATATATTTCAGTTGAGCACTATTGAGTGATAAGCTAATTCTATAAACAACAGCCACCTGCGTTAATGCAAAGCTCTTCAGTAAAATGAATTAGAGCTCTCCAGCTGATTGGCATTTGTTTATATTCGTAAAAACAATACGCTAGATTTAGCTGTTTCACTCTGCCGAATGAAAATAGCTCAGTGGTGGAAGCTCTGACTGACACCAAATCAGTTTGGTTTCGATCTTGACTTGAGCTATTCGGATGTCTGGTCGCACTGAGGAGTTGTGATAAAACGGAACAGTACTGTCTACGAATGATATAATTTAGCTCTTGAAAATATATTTCATTTGAGCACTGTTAAGTGATAAGTTAATTCTATAAACAACAGCCACCTGCGTTAATGCAAAGCTCTTCAGCAAAATGAATAGAGCACTTTGGCTGATTGACCAATACGCTAGATTTAGCTGTTTCACTCCACCGAATGAAGATAGCTCAATGGTAGAAGATCAGACTGGGTTTCGATCCTGGCTTGAGGCATTCGGAGGGCATCATTCGGATGTCTAGTCGCACGGTGGAGCTGTGATGCAGCGAAACAGTACTGTCCGCGAATCACACACACACACACACACACACACATATATATATATATATATAACATGTCAGCATTAATAGTCAAACCTTATACTATCTTTGTTCATCTCTACCTCAGTCTGTTCATTATCTATCTATCTATCTATCCACACACACACACACACACACACACACACACACACACACACACACACACACACACACACACAATAATTACATATAATATATAAATAATTATATATATATATATATATATATATATATATTATATACACTCACTTTCACACACACACATATATATATATACACACACACACACATATATATATAACATGTCAGCATTAATAGTCAAACCTTATAGTATCTTTGTTCATCTCTACCTCAGTCTGTTCATTATCTATCTATCACACATACACACACACCATATATATATATATATATATATATATATATATATATATATATATATACAAAATGACATGCTATCATTAAATATTCAAACCTTGCTCAAAGATATTGCTCTCCTTTAGGTTGACAGTTAATCTCTCCCCGCCTCTTCCGTAGCCGACTTCTTCTTTCGTCATGACACTGAGACTATCATTAACTGTCATCTCTCTAGATTCTTCATCTTTCAAATTTTGTCCCCTTCTGTCTTCAGTTGACATTCATTCTCCTTAACTATTCATTACCAATTCACTAATTTCCGCCAGCCACGTCTCCTTTTGTCATGTCAAAGCCATCATCTTCGTCCATCGTCCGGTATTATTTCTTGTTTTTTCGCTTGTCTGGACAGAGACTTTTGTTCATTTTGGACTTCTTTTACTCTTGGAGGACATCTTTTTTTTTTATTCGTTTTCCCTCTGAATCCAATACCATTTTTCGGATTTCTACATTTATAGGTTATTTCTTTTCATGTGAACGATAGAATATTGTAGTTTTGGTCGTGTTTTGTTTGGGATTTTGTTGCTAATTTATTTATTTTGAGACGTCGACAAAAGATTTGGCAGTCAAAAGTGGGCATGCATTTGCCAGGAAAAGCTCATCTTTTTCTTATCAGGTTTCTGTATTTTCTAATATTTTTCATTTACGTTGGAATTCCTGTTTTCCATATTCTCCATTTTGGAAATTTTATCTTTCTTTCTTTCTTTCTTTCTTTCTTTCTTGCTTCTTCTTCTTCTTCTTCTTCTTCTTCTTATTATTATTATTATTATTATTATTATTATTATTATTATTTTCTTTGATTTCTGGCATTTACACATTTCTTTCCAGGTCCCGCCCAGGGACCTAAGGTTAGAAATGGCAGCATGACACTTTCCACTGACAAAAAAAAAAAAAAAGAAAAAAAAAATTACATAATAATAATAATAATAATGATAATAATAATAATAATAATAATCATTATTATTATTATTATTATTATTATTTCCTTTTTTTTCTTTTTTCATCTTTCTTCCGTTCATTTCCCTCCTCTTTCCAGTTTCTTCTTTTTCCTTTTCTTTTTTCTTTCGTACTTTTAATTTTTTGCCTTGTTATTTTTACTTCTTCTTTTCTCTTTCTTTTTCTTTTCTTTTTCCTTTTTTCTGCATTTGTTGTTCGTTTTATTTCTTCTTTTTTCTCTATTTTCTTTCTTTTTCATCTTACTACTTTTCCTTCTTTCTTTCCTTTTTTTTCTTTCATTCATCCCTTTTTCTTCTTCTTCTTCTTCCTCTTCATTTACACAATGTTTTTATTTTTTTCCTCTTTAACTGTTCATTTTTCTCTTCGTTTTCTTTTTGTCATTCATTTCTTTTCTCATTTAGTTTTATTTTAAGCAGCATGTCTTACATCTTCCTGTCTCTGCCCTCAAGGAAACAATACATAAAATATGCCCTATAGGAGAACACATTTTTGGTTGCTTCAAATAAGAGTATCTACTAAAAATTACATTTAATGCAATGATATGATAGATAAAAAACGAGGTAAATGGTTCTTTATATATATATATATATATATATATATATATATATATATATATATATATATATATATATTACATGAATCATTCACACAAAAAGCAGATATAGAAGTTAATGATTTAAATGGCGAGAATACATCTTCGCAAACAAATTTAATAAAGTACATTAACCCCGAACCTGTATATGAATGTTATGGTCCCTGTTTATAAATTCCAGTTGCATAAGGTCTTTTTTTAGTTTTTTTACAAGCTTTCAACTGTGCATACAAACATCATCAGGTATGGAAATAGATTTGTTTTTGTTTTTTACTTCTCGCTAATAACAGGACAACGAAAATAGAGATGTAATCCGAAAAATGTTTTTAGAAATGTGTTATTGTTAATTGTAAGAAAGTTTTTTGGAACGTGCGGTCGCAACGCTGAGGTTGAATTTTAAGATTTTGCGTTTTTGTACTAATATGGTAATAGGCGAATTCTTTTGTACTGGTAGGTTTTTCAGTCAATGTGGCAGGAACTAAATTGTTCAATAAATACAATTTCTTACAATTAACAATAATGGGGTTAATGTACTTTATTAAATTTGTTTGCGAAGATGAATTCTCGCCATTTAAATCATTTTAATCATTAAAAAAAAATAGAATTTTCCTTTTTGCTGAGTTTCTCTCTGAGAAGCTCCGACTGATGCCAAATCGATCGGGTTTCGTTCCCGGCTTAAAGCAATCGGATGTCTAGCCACATTGATGAACTCTGATACAGCGAAACAGGCCTGTATGTGGATGACATTATATAATTTCTATATATATTATTTATATATTATATATACGCGGTACTTATTCGAAATTGCTCAATATCAGTGATAGAGCTAACATTTAGTTGGATTGATGTGAGTTTGTGAACCTGGGTTTCACGCTATATATATATATATATATATATATATATATATATATGCAATTTTTTACATATATTATTTATATATTATATATTCACGGTACTTATTGGAAAGCGCTCAATATTAATGAAAATCGCCATATTATTTTTTATTTAAGGATTTCTATATATTTCAGGTGAATCAAAAGTGGTTGCAGAAATCATAAATTTTAAAATAATGTTACGTGGGAAGATGCTTACTGCTGATGAAAAAGCCAAAATAACAAAATTACTATCAAACGATAAAACCACACTGAAAATTTCAAAAATAATTAAACGTGATCATCGTTTAATGAAGCAATATGTCAATGATGATAAAGATGAGCTCAAGAAACACAAGTGTGGTCGTCCATGTGCTGTTAACAAGAGAGCTTTAAAAAAATTAAAAGAACATTTTAAAAAAACACTGAGAGCAGCAGAAAAGAGATTTTTAAGCAAGATGGCGTTGAAAAATTATCAAAAGCAACATGAAATCATATCCGAGGAAAGTTGGCTCTCTGAGCCGCGCTAGGAAGTTTTCCTCCCCTGAGTCGATCCTCCAGATATACAAATCCACAATTCGCCCTTGCATGGAGTATTGCTGCCATATATGGTCTGGCGCCCCTTCTGTTTGTCTCGGGGTTCTTGATAGGCTCCAGAGGCGGATATGCAATGTAGTTGGCCCTGCCCTGGTGTCTCGTCTACAGTCACTTTCTCACAGACGCACCGTCGCCTCCCTCTGTCTGTTCTACAAATACTTTCATGGAAATTGCTCAGAGGAGCTGCATTCGCTGGTTCCCAGACTTCATGAGTTCCAGCGCCCTACGAGGCTGGCATCCCGCTCTCACCCCATCACTGTCGAAACTCCTAAATATAGCCGTCTCTTCTACTCTAATAGCTTCATGTCTCGCACCTCTCGCCTGTGGAACTCCCTTCCCTTCTCCTGTTTCGCTGAGAGCTATAATCTCCAGCTTTTCAAGTGTAATGTCAATCGACATCTCCAGTTGCCTTGATCTATCCACTACCCTCATCCTTTCTTCTATCACTCCTATCTGATCTTGCTATTTCCTGTAACTCCTTGCATCCTAGTGGCTTCCCGCCTTGCTTGGGGTGAAACGCTTTAAAAAAAAAAATATATCCTCCATAGTATGACAAAACAACTTTCTACAATTTCATGCCCTCCGTTGAGGTTAGAATGGGCAAACCATTACTTAAAAATTGGTTTACAAAGAATAATTTGGACGTATGAAGCCCGGCCGACGTTAGATGGCCCCGGTGGTTTGAAAAGAGATTGGCTCATTCATGGTGGAACTCCTCGGTTGCGTTTTAAACGCCAACAAGACGGTGGTGGAATCATGGTCTGGGCTGGAATTTGTGGCTCGACATTCATTAGACCATTTTTTGTGCCAGAAGGATAAAAACTGAATTCAGTTAATTATTGCCAATTTTTAAAAGAAAATATCATACCCTGGTTGAATTCACAAAATGACGAGTTCCGTAGTAATCTTGCTTATCATCAAGATAATGCTCCCAGAGTGGTTGGCAAATCCAGGCTTTACAGGGGACAAGATTATGGTATGGCCAACACAGAGTTCCGATTTAAACCCCGTTGAGAACATTTAGGCCATTGTAAAATGTTGAGTTTATGAAAATGGACAGCAATTTTCTAACAAGGATCACCTGTGGAATTGCATTTTGGATGTTTGTTCTAAAATTACAGCCAGCGAAGTTAGAAAAATTACTTCATCTGTCGATAAACGACTTATTGAGCTTCTTAAAAATGATGGTCGAAAAATTAAATATTAATGTGCTTCTTGTGTTTTCATATATTGATATCTAAACAAAGCCATACCAATTTTCATTGGTATATAATGCATAATACACCTTTTCATTATTTTGTATAATTGATTTGAACAAGACCAATTTTTTGCATTGAAATCAAAGTTTGCAAAAATTTTAGGGTCGGTATTATTTCCTTAATTAATTAAAAAAAAATCACGAATAAAGATAATTTTTGTAATTTCTGTAATGTTCGGGTATTGGGCAAGCAGTAAGGAATTAAAATATTGAACTTTTGTCCATAAAAGCATATTTTATTAGAAAAAATGCAAAATGTCAGTATTTACATTATTTGGACTATTGTCCTCATCTTTTTCACCATATCTATCAGAACGTTTCGGCCGTTGTACGCTTCGACTTTCTTCAGGTGGTTGGAATGTCGAACTGAACACTTTATTTCGCTCACTGGGGTAGACTGTTCTAGTTCCACGTGCCATGTTTGATGGATGTCAGTTATCAGCTATCTCTTGTTAATTTCCCTCTGAAAGTTCTCCACTGCTTTAACTGGGTATTGAACTCACACTCTTTGGGTCCTGTCACTGGATCTAACCAACGCCTTTATCCACTGTGCCATGTGTCCTCAATTAACAGGAGATAACTGATAATTGACATCCATCAAACATGGCACGTAGAACTAGAACAGTCTACCCCAGTGAGCGAAATAAAGAGTTCGGTTCGACATTTCAACCACCTGAAGAAGGCCGGAGCGTACAACGGCCGAAACGTTGTAATAAATATGGCGACAAAGATGAGGACAATAGTCCGAATAATGTAAATAGTGTACATAATACCTCATCTCAGAAATATAGACAGATACTGAAAGGCCGGAACGTTGTAATAAATATGGCGACAAAGATGAGGACAATAGTCTGAATAATGTAAATAGTGTACATAATACCTCATCTCAGAAATATAGACAGATCCTGAAAGGCCGAAACGTTGTAATAAATATGGCGACAAAGATGAGGACAATAGTCCGAATAATGTAAATAATGTACATAATACCTCATCTCAGAAATATAGACATGTCAGTATTTGCAAAATCTTTTGAGACGCACTATATATACCTGTCTGTGTGTATGTAAAAATTCCGATATAAATAAAAATATATCTCTTTAAATGTGAATGAAGACAAATGGAATAAAAACATAGCAATATTTATCCATCTGTTTCTAAAGACATATTGCAAAATGAAATCCTTACGTTTGTCTTGATAAAGTCCATCAAATGAAGAAACGCGTCCGTAAAGAAAAGTTATCCATTTGTCTTTTTAATATATATATATATATATATATATATATAAGAAGTCGAAATTAATAATGAATCCCATAAATTCAGCAACTCAATAAAAATCTCATAAAGCATTTGAACAAAATATACCATCCAAACTATTAATACCATCCAAAGTATTAATACCATCCAAAATAGCAAGACCATCCAAAATACCATTCAAAATATACGAAAAATGAAAAATACCATTAAAAATACCAAGATTATCCTAAACAAAAAGATCAACTAAATAAAACTATATCATCCAACATGCGATATAAAATTAAAAAAGACTACCAAAATACCATCCAATATATGAAGACCATCCAAAATACCAATACCATTCAAAATGCAAAATTATATTCAAAGTAGAAATACCATCCAAAGTACCAAAAAGCCACGCCAATCTAAAATGGCATCTAAAACACTAAGGCTATAAAAAATCCCATAAAATAAACAGACCATCTAGATGCTAAGACCACCCAAGATTATCATTTAAAATACCATCCAAAATAGCAAGACCATACAAATTGCCATCCAAAATACTACCCAAATTACTATCCAGAATACCATCTAAAATGGCAAGACCACCAAAAATATCATCCAATATACCATCCAAATTAACAAGACCTTCCAAAATACAATCCAACATATATCCCAAAATACCAAGAACCATCGAAAATACCAACAAAAATAACACGATTATTGAAAATGGCATTCAAAATACTATCTCAAACACCAAGACCATCGAAAAATACCATAAAATTAAGGAAACCCTCCAAAATACCATCCGAAATAACAAGACCATCCAAAATATCATCCAATATACCAAGATTATGCAAAATACAAAGGGAATGCAAAATACGAATATCATTCAAAATACAATAACATTCAAATTTCAAATACCATGCAACATACCAAGAACATCTAAAATAGCACCCAAAACACCGAGACTATGAAAATAAAAAGGCCATCAAAATGTCAAGACCATCTAAATTACTAACACCATCCAAAATACGACTCAAAACACAATGGCCATCCAAAACGCTCAATCCATCCGAAATACCAAATAAAACACCAGAATTATCCAGAAAACCACCCAAAATACCATTGAATACCCCAAAACCATCCAGAATACTGTCCAAAATACCAAGACAATAAAAAATAACATCCAAGTCATAATACCATTCAAAATACCATCCAAAATACCATGCTATATAAATCAAAATCATCCAAAATACCATCCAAAAAATACCAAGACCAACCAAACTACCATTCAAAAACGCCAAAACGATCTAAAATGCACCCACAACAATAACAATAACCAAAATAAAAAGACCATCCAAAATCCCAAGACCATCCAAGAGACTGTCCCAAATATCCAGACCATCCAAAATAACATCCAATATACTATGCAAAACACCAAGGCACTCCAAAACACCACTACCATTAAAAATACCATCAAAATTCCAAGACCTTACAATATACCATCCAAAACAGCAAGACCATCCAAAATCCCATGCACATTTCATTCAATACGACAGACAAGGTGCTTTTATTTAGTTTTTATACAATTTCTCATGCGATCTAATATTTTTTTTTCTTTTCGGATGATAAATTATATAAAAACTGTCCAAATGTTCTTTTTATTCGAGCGCTTTCGGCTATACATCTAGCCATTTTCAAAGATTATATTTTAACTGTTAAAATAAGAAATAGATTATTGTATGTGTGTTTTATAAAATGTTTTCATTTTTCAAAACACCATCATCATCTGAAAAGAAAAAAATATTAGATCGCATGAGAAATTGTATAAAAAAACTAAATAAAAGCACCTTGTCTGTTGTATTCAATGAAATGTGCATATATATATATATATATATATATATATATATATATATATATTCTTTTTATTCGAGCATGATATTAATTTTGTGTTTAGGAATATACGAAAACTTAAGGAATCAGTACATATGTTAGGCCACAAAAATCTGAGCCGATCAAGCATAGAAATAGATACAATATGGGAACCAGTAATAAGGTGTGCCAGAGAGAAGCAATAACAACAACAATATGAGCTCTGGTAAAAAAGAAAATTTCGGAGATTGGTGAAACATAGCCTTCGCTTAAGCCGTCAAACAATGGTTCGAGTATTCGTACAAGAGAGAATGAAGCTTTGTTTATAGATCCTACCACAACTTCTTTGGCAAAAGACCACGGAGCGGAATAATAATAAAAAACAATTTCGAAATATATATATATATATATATATATATATATATATATATATATATATATACTGCGTGCCAAATTATTATCGAGATACCTTTTTTTATATTTCAAAAACCGTCCAATCAATTCACACAAAATTTTCACACAATGTTGGCAACACTGACCTGCGCAATCACTGAAATCTTCGTACTGATCTGCGCAATGTAAACAAACTGGCGCCATATTTGTTATCAGCACGGTGATTTGAGCGTGCCAAATTATTAGAAAGGTTTAGTAAAATTCCCAGAATTGAGCAAACAAAACGTTTGTTAATGTTGCACGTGAATGTTTATGATCAAAAGAAGCTAATAAATAAGATAATCAAACAAATAATAACAGATACAAAGGCACAGTTTTAAACAAATTAATAGGGAATGTCATCTGCTGTAATGCCGCGAGATATGTCAAGAATTGCTTCCCACAACTCAGCGTTGCTCCTGAATTGTCGTCCGTTGGCGTACAGTCTTCGCTTCATGATGCTCCAAAGGTTGTTGATTGGGTTCAAATCCGGAGAATTTGCTGGCCACTTCATTTTTCGAGGTCCATCGAAGCCTAACTGTTTCAAATATTCAGTAGTCTTGTGAGCAACATGTGAGGGAACATTATCTTGCATAAAAACAATGGCCCTTCTGAAGGCAACTCTTTGCCTTTTCATCCACGGTTCAAGATTCTCCTTCATAAACGCTATGTATGCAGCAGCAGTCATTTTGACGCCATCTGGTACTCTCCATGGGCCCATTAATGTTTTTCCAATAATATCACCCCAGATCATTATGCCTCCACCGCCTTGTTGGCGTCTCAAACGCTGATGGCAATTCTGTCCGTTCATTACCCAGCCTTTGCACCATCTATCTGGCCCATCAAGTGTTGCTCGAGTTTCGTCTGTGAACAAAACTTTAAAGAAGTCAATCTTCATACGGTCCTCGACCCATTTCAATCGATTTTGAATGTGATTTCTCGTCAACGGAGGCTTTGATACAGGTTTGACTGTTGTTGCTATTTCCCTCAGACACCGACACCGAGTACCTTTAGACACAGTAGTATGCCCAATGCGACTGAAAAGCTCTTGACTGGTAAGTCCAGGGTTCTTTGTGGCCTCTCGTTTAAGTCGTGACATGAGACGACGTGAAATAACCCTCGGCTTGCCTTTATCTGTCCTTTTGCGTACTTGTATAGGGTCGGCGGTGAACTTTTTCACTGTTTATGACATCTCCCGATCATTTTAGAAATTTCTAGGGTAGATTTACCTTTTTTGAGTTCTGAGGTGATAGTTTTCTTTTCAGCATTAATTAAACTGCTTTTACGGCCCATCTTTTCATTAAATTCTTACACTTTACTAATAATTTGGCACGCTCAAATCACCGTGCTGATAAAAAAAATATGGCGCCAGTTTGTTTACATTGCGCAGATCAGTACGAAAATTTCAGTGATTGCGCAGGTCAGTGTTGCCATCATTGTGTGAAATGACTGGATGGTTTTTGAAATATTATAAAAAAAAGTTATCTCGATAATAATTTGGCACGCAGTGTGTGTATATATATATATATATATATATATATATAATCTTTTTATTCGAGCCTGATATTAATATTTTGTCTTTGTTGTTTAGGAATATACGAGAACTTAAGGAATCAGCACATATGCTTAGCCATAAAAATCCTCTAAGCCGATCAAGCATAGAAATGAATACAATATGGGAACCAGTAATAAGGAGTGCTAGAAAAATGCAATAACAGCAACAATATGAGCTCTGGTAAAAAAGAAAATTTCGGAGATTTGTGAAACATGGACTTCGCTTAAGCTGTCAAACAAGGGTTAGAATATTCGTTCAAGAAAGAATGAAGCTTTGTGTATAGATCCCACTACAAGTTCTTTGGGAAAAGACCACGAAGCGGAATAAAGATAAAGAAACAAATTCGAAATTTAAATATTATTTGCACACATTAACTGTTAAAATTTGTCATGACAAAATGGCGTCAGCATTTTTTAGTTTTGTTTTCTACTTTATTGCGTTTGTTTCCTCTTTTTCTTATTTCTTTTCTCATACCACATAATGTTTATTTTCCTTTCTTCCTTTGATATCTTCATCGATTTTATCTTTTAATCTTGTCAATCCCCTAATGGAATTACCTTACAAAATCTACTCTGTTGACGTTAAGTATTGTCCCAGAATTCAGTTTCTCAAAAATATCATTCTCACTCTCGTGATGTCCATCCTGACTTTAAGCGGTTATCAGCATCTTCCATCTTTCTTTTTTTCTTTCATTTTTTTTTTTTTTTTGTTAACCATATAAGGTTCTTTGCCCATTTTGATTACGTCTACCCAGATTTCTTTTCGAACTGTGTGGGGAAACATTACCGACATGATCGCTGACTTTTGCTTTTATTAATGCTTCTATTTACGTTTCCTTTTCTTAGGCGTTGACGGCGGAAGGGACACCTCAACACCGTTGACTCACGAGAAAACTCATCACGAGAAAAACATAACATTTTTTTTAAACCGAATAAAAGTAATTTATTAAGGATTAAAACCTTAATTATTGATTATATTTTAATTATCTTTAATAAAGTAAATCGTAAAGAACTTAGTCGGCGTTGTTCATTCGGTGGTGTTGAGTCGGCGGTATTGAAGTGTCCTACACCAGTTGGCGAATGGTCACTTCCGATACGAATGCCTTTTTTCTCTTTGATTAATTCCAATTGTTTTTGCTTTTATTTTGTTGACACCATCGTTGATTTCTGCTTTTGAAATTGCTTCATCCACATTTTTTCTTTTATTTTTTGTCATTGTTGAAACTATACTTGATTCTTGCTTTTGAAATTAAGTCAACCATCTTTACTGTTTTAGTTTCTATTTACAACTTATTGTTCTATGATTCGATTATTATATTTCCTCATTTCTAATTCCTTCTAATTTCTGTTATACATTTTTCGTTTTGTGTGTGTGTGTGTTTATCTATTTCAGTCTCTTCACATCTATCGATCTATCGATCTATCTCTTACAGTTCATTATCCGTATATATCAGTCTGTTCAAATCTATCTATCTATCTATCTATCTATCTATCTATCTATCTATCTATCTAAGTCCCTTCACATCTATCTATCTATCTATCTATCTATCTATCTATCTATCTATCTCAGTCTTTTCACATCTATCTATCTATCTATCTATCTATCTATCTCAGTCTGTTCATTATCTATCTATCTATCACTCTCTTCACATCTATCTATCTATCTATCTATCTCAGTCTGTTCATATCTATCTATCTATCTATCTATCTATCTATCTATCTCAGTCTCTTCATATCTATCTATCTATCTATCTATCTATCTATCTATCTATCTATCTATCTCAGTCTCTTCCTATCTATCTATCTATCTATCTATCTATCTATCTATCTATCTATCTATCTATCTATCTATCGTTGTCTCCAACCTGTGGAAATACATTTTTACATTTGTTTTTTCCATTTCAAATCTTTATCGTCCATTTCCTTTGACATCGTCTTTTCTCTCTGGGATTCTTGTCAATTCTCTTCTTCGATTCTTTCATGCATTTGTCATCATCAACGTTTTCTTTTGCATTGGAAATTCATTCTTCAATATATTTTATTCTTTATTTCTAATTTATTTTTTCTCTTTAATTTCTTTTCATTTTGACTTTTTCTCTTTTTCTGGTCTCTTCCAATTCTCTATTCATTGCTTTGCGCATTTTCCCACCCTTTTTTTTTCTTTTTTCCATTTTCGGCACCATATTTGATTTCTGCTTTTGAAATTCCTTCTTCGGTTAGATGATCTATATCCATTTTTTTTTGTTCATTTTTTTTACACTATCTTCTTTTTCCCCACTTCCTTATTCTTTCAATTTTTATATACATTTTACCATTTTTTTTTTTTTTGTGATTGTCGGCACCATATTTGGCTCCTGTTCTTGCAATAGTTTTTTTTTTTTTTTTCTAATTCAGTGTCAGGAACCTAGTCTTTTTCTCCATTTCTGATTTCTTTCAATTTCTTTTCTCTTTCTCTCTCCCCCACTCTCTCTCTCTCATTCTCCCTCACTCTCTCTCTTTCTCTCCTCTTCTCCCTCCCTCTCTTTCTCCCTCCCTCTCTCTCTCCCTTCTTCTGCCCCTCTCTCCGGCTGTCGGCACAATCTTTAATTTCTATTTTTTTCTAGTTTTTTTTTTCTTTTAATTTCTAACTTTCATTTATTCTGTCCCGACACCATCTTTGTTTTCCTATTTCAAAGATCTTTCTTTCTTATTTCTTTGGATTTTTGATTAATTGTCGACCCAATATTTTCTTTTTGCCGCAAGCTTCAATTCCGGCACCCATAATCTTCCCAATTGCTGCTGCTGCTGCTGCTGCTGCTGTTGCTTCTTCTTCTTCTTCTTCTTCTTCTTCTTCTTCTTCTTCTTCTTCTTCTTCCTTCCTTCCTTCCTTCCTTCCTTCCTTCTTCTTCTTCTTCTTCTTCCTTCTTCTTCTTCTTCCTCCTTCTTCACCTTCTTCTTCTTCAACTTCGTCTTCTTCCTCCTCCTCCTCCCCCTTCTTTCTTCTTCTTCCCCTTTCACCTTCTTCTTCTTCAACTTCGTCTTCTTCTTCCTCCTCCTCCCCTTCTTTCTTCTTCTTCTTCCTCTTTCTCCTTCTTCCTCCTTCTTTTTCCTCCTCCTCCTTTTTCTTCTTCCTCCCTCTTCTTCCTCCTCCTCCTTCTTCCTCCTTCTTCCTCCCCTTCTTCTTCCTTCTTCCTCCTCCTCCTCCTTCTTCTTCTTCCTCCTTCTTTTTCTTCCTTCTTTTTCTTCTTCTTCCTTCTTCTTCTTCCTCCTCCTCCTTCTTTCTTCTTCTTTTTCTTCCTTCTTTTTCTTCTTCTTCCTC